TAGTAAGCCTGAACTCTCCATCTTCCAGGGCCTAGCGAGGAGTCTGCGGGCTGAGCAAGAGGTGTTCCCCTGCGTCACTGTCGATTTGGACGCCGATTACAGACTCCCTGCTGATCAGGTCGTTGATCTCCTCTTTGGGGTCTTCAGACAGACGTTCGTGCGCGGACAGGCCGCGGCGGTGAATGATCGCGAGTTTGCGGAGAGGAATGGCATATTGCATGTCAAGCGCATGGTGGAGGATGATGCGTTTAACAAGTACATCGCCACTCGCACTGGGGCCGCGGCGCTGAAGCCTAGGGCGGAGAAGTTGGTTCAGCCTGGACGGCCGCTGAAACTCACCTTAGATGGGGTGGGAAGTCTGGATTCATTCTACTTCTCCGACGACCCTACTGTAGGCGCTACGGTACCAATCGCAAATGGGGAGGTGGAAATCAGCGTCCGCGCTGTCGGCTTGAACTTCCGCGATATCCTCATCGCGATGGGCGAGATGAGCGATAACTACCTTGGTAACGAGTGCGCTGGTGTCGTGACACAGGTTGGGGAGGGGGTCACGCATGTGTCTGTCGGTGATCGCGTGGCGGTGTGGTGTCTGGGGTGTTTCGCGACGCTGATGAGGAATCCGGCTGATACGGTGATGAGGATCCCTGATGATATGGATTTTGTCACCGCGGCTGGGTTCCCCATTATTTACGTCACGGCGTATTACGCCTTGGTTCACTTGGCGAGGATGCAAGCTGGGGAGTCAGTCCTGATTCATGCTGCTGCTGGCGGGGTTGGACAGGCGGCGATCCAGATCGCGCAGAGGTTGGGTGCGGAGGTTTATGTGACTGTTGGGACCGGGGAGAAGAAGGCGCATATCATGTCCCTCTTCGGCATCCCCGCGGAACGCATTTTTAGCTCTCGCGATGTCAGTTTCGAAGCTGGCGTGAAGCGCGTCACCGACGGACGCGGCGTGGATGTCGTCCTCAACAGTCTTGCTGGGGAATCCCTCCGTGCGAGCTGGCGGTGCGTTGCGCCCTTCGGGCGATTCGTGGAGTTGGGCAAACGCGATATTGAGGCGGGTGGACGCTTGGATATGGGGCCTTTCGTGCGGAATGTTGTGTTTGCTAGTGTGGATATTACGGCGATGTTGAGGCTTAATAGACGACTTGGGGCGAGTATGTTTAGGGAGGCTATGGAGATGGGGATGGAGATTCGGAGGGAGCTTGAGGGGGAGGGAATGGGGGAGGGAGGGGCGAATCCGGTGAGGACTTGGGGGTTTGGGGAGGTGGGGGAGGCGTTTAGGCATATGCAGGCCGGGAGGCATGTGGGGAAGATTGTGGTGGTGCCGGGGGAGGGGGATGTGGTCCAGGTATGTTCTTCCAGCTTTCCCAGTTTGTCGTCAGGGGATGATGATGCTAATCCGTACCAACAGGTCATGCCTCAACCGCTCAAGGGCGCGAAATTCCACGCCGACGCATCATACCTCCTCGCCGGCGGCCTGGGCGGAATAGGTCGCAGCTTATCGATGTGGATGGTCGCCAACGGGGCACGGAATCTCATCTTCGTCTCTCGCTCCGGCGTCTCGAATGATGCTGCCCGCGAGCTCGTCAGCACGCTCATGGGGAAGGGTGTCCGCGTTGAGGTCATAGAGTGCGATATCGCCGACGAGGTTAGGCTGTTCGACTCGCTCAACACGTCGTTGAGGACTATGCCGCCTATTCGCGGGGTAATTCAGGGCGCGATGGTTTTGCGTGATCAGATCTTTGCAAATATGCCTTATGAGACTTTCGTCTCTGCCTTGCGTCCCAAGGTGCAGGGTTCGTGGTCCTTACATCAAGCTACGCTGGACCAGCCGCTCGATTTCTTCGTGCTTTTGTCGTCTGCCTCCAGTTTCTTAGGGAATGCAGGACAGGGTAATTACGTTGCAGCATGCACATACCAAGTCGCCCTCGCCCAACATCGTCTCGGCCTCGGCCTCCCAGCAACCGCAATCGATATCGGCAAAGTCGCCAGCGTCGGCGTCGTAGCCGAGAGCAAGGATTCCACCATCGAAGAGAACCTCATCCGTATCGGACTCAAAGACATCCAAGAGGCGGAACTCCACGCTATCATCGAGCTGGCTATGCTTCCCAATGCTGTGGGTGTGACGAATGGACATCTCATTACGGGGGCGCATACGAGTCTTGATCCTGGTGCTGATATCGCGGATTTACCGTTTTGGAGTCGCGATCCGGTGTTCTCCCATCTTGACGCCCTACGCCCTCATCTCGCGCGCGCAGCAGACGGCTCAGGCGGTGCTTCGTCCGCGGGTCGCGCGAGTCTGAAAACCCTTTTGGGAAGCGCACCATCGAAATCCGCAGCCGTAGCCACGGTTCTCGAAGCCCTCCTCGCGAAACTCGCGCGCGCGCTGGCGATGCCGGTAGCGGAGATTGATGCGAGCAGGAGTACGGCGGCGTATGGGATCGATTCGTTGCTCGCGGTTGATATTAGGAATTGGATCTTTAGAGAGGCGGGTAGTGATGTGGCGGTGTTTGAGGTGTTGCAGGCGGGGAGTGTGGGGGGATTGGCAGGGAGGGTGGTGGAGGGGAGTGCGTTTTTGGGGGCTGCTGCTAGTAAGGCTGGTAGCGGCGACGAGTGAGTGGGTAATGAGGGGAGGGGAAGAGAGGAGTGAAAAACAGGGGGGTCATGGGGGGGTTAAAGCATATTTTCGGAGCGTGGCTGCGGGTTTGGTCGGGTTGGGGGGTTCAGCATCTTTCCCTTTTTTCTTTTTTGTTCTTGTCCTCATCATCATCCATCGCTCTCGCGCCTCTTTTTTTTTGTTCATTTTTTTTGGCGGGGGTCTGGATCGGGGCGTTTTATAGCATGCGGGTCGGCGGATTGGGGGGGGTTTTGTGTTGCATAATTCGGAAGGGTAGGGGGGGAGGTTGTATATGAATGAGATCTATGAGATGAAGATGAGTGTATTTAGCGGGTGGAAGAAGGGGGGGTAGTATATATGTATATGTGTGATTGATACCATTTAATACGAGTATTTGAGAGATCAATTTTGTGGTTTGTGTGTTTGTGGTGTCTTGTGTCTTGTGGTTGTGGAGGGGGTGTTGTGGTGGCGTTCGTGGTGTGTGTAGTTGGTGATTAATATTGTTTGCTCCCCTTACTTCCGATTACCGCATCTACCCCCTCCGCACGCCTATAGTCCCGTGTGCGGAACGACAAACGTAAATGATATATGACAAACCACCCGTCTTCTCGAACAAACGAAATCGACGGATTGGTCGCGGATGGTCACGGATTGGTCGCGGATGCCGCGTTTGGGCGGGACGGGAAGCAAGGCTCGCGCTAGAATGTGGTGTGGAATGTTTACCCCTCCCTTCCCTACCTTCCAAAGGAAAAAGAGGGGAAAAGGAAGGGAAAAGGAAGGAAGAAGGAAGACGGGAAATGGAAGGGAAGGGGAGGTGGGGTTTGGGGGGTTATATGGTGCGAGATAAGTCGGCGGTTGGATTGTAGGCAGCGATGTTGGAGGGTTTTGGGGGCTATGCAGGCAAGGTTGGGGGCGGAGACCGGAGGACGGAGGGTGCGTGTTGGGGGCCGTTTATTTGTATAAGCGGCTGTGCAGGGTTGGTGCGAAATATATGTTTCCGTTTGGTTGGTTTGGTGTCTTTTGAGGGGTCCGGTACTGTCGAGGTAGCAATCTATTAAATATATTAAGGCATCATTGTGTAGAGCGGGTGGGTTTGTGGTCGTGAATGAGTTGGCTGTGGTGGTTATTGATACGATGCTGAGGAGGCGGAGGCTTGTTAAAGGAACAAAGCTTGACAATCGGGTTCCTCTTGTAAGGATTCATATACCCCGGTATCTACATTTTTAAGTCGATCAAGGCAAGCATTAGCGTTTATCCGGCGTGGGGAGGAGGGTGCCAGCTGTCATCGGGGCTCTATTTCGCGTCCTACTTCTGTGCGATGAAGCCAGTCATCCCTGTTCATTTGCCATGCAAATCATATCATCGTAATTGCCAACTTTCCCATAAACCGGTCGTTCCTGCCAACTTACCAATAAATCTTGGTTGTTCCTGCCTTATATAACTGTTGGGTTGGTTGCGCTTGCCTATTTATATATTAATGTTATGTCGATCGTGGTTGCAATTTTTATAGCAACATACAACGACGGTGATTCGTGGTCTCCAACCTAAAGCGCGATACTGGACGCTATTGCGCAGTACAGCTGTCACATCACTTGCCAGCTTTGTGCTCTTAGAGTTGATACTGGGATACTGGGAAGTTAGACGGTATACGCGCGCGCAGTGAAAGGCTGATCGCGCATCAGCCAGGGAAGCGCAGGCGGCGGGGATGTGAAATCTTGAGAGAGATAGGGTTCTCTCTGCAAATGCCATGTTGCCCCGCGGAGATGCGGATAGTATCCACTGCGATGGATGGGTTAGGTCGTCTATTTTGTAGCGCGAGGGATTGTCCGCCAACGCACGATCCATGCTAGAGAGCGATGTTTGGCTGTCGAGGATGAGATGGCTCATACTAGGCCGAGAGTGGGGACGAGCGCGGGTGTAGCCGCTGACATGCTGATGAGCTTATTGCGTTGGGGTTGAGTATATATGCTCTTCTATTCCCTGGCTTAATCTCTTTTTGCAGGAAGTTCTTTCTAATACCGGTTTCGTTGAAGGACCGCGCTCCCATCCTACGCTTGTAGGTGTTGGCTCCTTTCTGGTTGTGCGAAGTTTCGGATGATATATTCTGGCCTATTAATAAGCACAGGTCAAGCAAAGCTGAAAGCGTGGAAGGATTCCTGTGTGTGGGATTCTAGAGGTGTAGCGTATTTTGTGTGTAATGGATTTGGCCTGGGTCCTTGGCTGCATGGAGGGTTGCATTGTAGCGGTTAAAGGATAGGTTGAGCTTTTTGCTCTGCTAGGCTTGGGTATTGCATATATCAGTGGTGTCGCAGCTGTATATATCCGTGGGGATGCAGGCATTAACGTGATACTCGAGCGCGAAGCTTCAAAAATCTTCAGAATGGCTTGTGTCAACCCTGACTGCTCCTATATGCACGATGCCACCGGCTTGTTGTTACCCCCAGTCCTGCAGCCAAATCCCGACATCTCTGGGATCGGGGTGAGTCTCACCGCATTAAAACTGTCTGGTAAAGTTGCTGCCGCCATTAAGAAAGCCCTCGGCGCGATTTGGGGGACTTCTGGTTGAGGTAAGTACATGACAGCGCTGCCTCATATGCCGAGACATACCTAATCCAAGAGCTAAACTTCGTTCCCAGGCTATCCTAGCAATGAGCGATGCACAAATTGTCACAGGACTCTCCATACTCATTGGTGGCTTCTCGCAAATCAATTGCGGCCTTTCTATTTTCCATTGGCACATGGTGGTCCGCCTTGCGTGGTTCTCATCCGTGACGCATCTTACAACACTGACATTCCTCCGGCGATATATCCAAGATAATAGTGCGATTAGGATACTGAGGCTGGTTCTCATGTTGGTACTTATGCTCATGCTAGCTGTTGCCCTTATCCCGACTGGTGGAGAGTGTGGATTGGAGAATTATGAACGTGGGTATCCATCTACGTACGGCAACACTAGCACCAACGAGTTGAGGTATTTTGGTTTTCATCCAGTGTATCCAGGATCGCCAGGAAAGTGTTGTTTTTTGGCGATGTCTGATAAAGCCGGCTTCATAGGCACCAAAAATAAATTCGACGTCATGATGGTATCGGAAGGCTAATCGGTAGCTCCCTTACGAGAGTGTTCAAACTCTTCCGCGGGAGCTCTGGGTTTTCGAAGACATGGCTGAGGCATAAACCTGCGAAAATGTGCAAACGTATCGCAAGTAAGTTGGAAGAGCGGTATTACGATTCCTACTTAAACTCAGCGCGCGGCATGTACATTGCTTGCTATTGCGCTATCATGGCGTTTATAACTTTTGCACGAGCTATTTATGATTGTGTTGACTCCTTACTTTTTGAGGTTAGTCAACTTATATCGGTCTTTTCTACCATATGCTAACAGACGTGTAGATTGTCTGGCTACTCTTTTCATTGGCTTGGGGAACCCTACGAATATTCCTAGACAGAATGATAGCAGGTGTAGATTTTGCAATTACACAGGATAGTAAGGAAGACGTTGTGCTGCAAGAGAACTCATGGGAGTTTGGGCAACTTGTCCCCACATTGTTGCTAATCATTCCCTTATTTAGTCTTCTTGAAGGCGCCATAGGTATGCAAAGCATTTGATTCCTAGAGAAGTTTATTTCCGATCTAACCATACATAAGGGATATTGAAATCCAAGTCTACTAATTCTATACAAGATGATACGGCATCTGCTCTTGATGAAGCTTGGTTGTCTAAGAGACTATTGGAGGAGGAACAACTTGGCGGCCTTCCACTTTGCACAGGCCTATATGCTGAGCTGGACATAGTCAATGCCGTTGAAATGGTAAAATTGCTAGGAACTGGGGCCGACCCTGCCGACATGGAGAACGACCTTGGCTCTAATGTTCAGAGCTCGCCCAGCACAGCCACTAGACACCAGTCCGGCGTGTATAGTAAACACCCTCCACAACCTGAGACAGAACAACAACTAAGAAGTTCCATACACCGATGGTTTAATAAGACAATCTATAACATATGTGTATGGCTTTGGAATATTTATGGTGGCCTCCTCATTTTTGACTCTCGCCGGCATGCTCCTTATGGTAGCAGGCAACGAAGACAAGCTAGTTAATTTATTGCTCCATGGTGATAGAAATAGCTATGCGCGTGGATAAGATAAAGTAGGGGTCCAGTTGGGAGCCAAGGGATATATATTCACGCCGGACCATGTATTGTTCCACGTTGTAGTTAGTTACATACCGAGAAAAGTATACCCAAAACAATAATAGACGCCAAACTGTTCGCGAGATGGTACATGCCGTAGGCCGCATTCTCAAGGGCCAGAGGGCATCCTACGAAATCCTCGCCTTTCTGAAAGGGCAAACTGTAGCCAAAGCCAAAACCCTCCCCTTAGGACCCGGTTTGAGGCCTGAGCCAGGCCTGTGCATTCCGCCTGTTGCTGTTTACTGTCGCATGGGACTAACAGACAGTCCAGGGTAGTTATCAAGGACCTTATTTTTGAGCGCGAATTGGATACCCATCGAATTCCTGCTATCGAAGAGAGCCCCTACATTCGGCAGTTGGTAGATGTTATCCATCCCGAAGATGGGGCGCGGCGCCCGGGGAACCGAAGAAGCTGGTTTTCGAATGGATGGATACTGATCTATGGAAATGCCGGCCACACGGAAATCTTTCGCACCCAAATCTTCCTCAAGTGATTTCAAAATCGGTATTGGAAGCCCTTGCCGTATTCCAAGGCCTCAATGCCGTGCATACAGGTCTACAGCCATCTTGAGCCCATGCGAAAAACGCACTAACATACTATAGACATTAGCCCAAACAATGTTCTTCTATCCAACCTCGATCAGCCATTTCCTACCGTCAGAGTAAGCGACTTAGACCAGGGTAAGGATAGAAGATATTGACGGCTTCCTATCTCTCTGACTTTAGAACAGCATTCATGGAAGGCGTTAAGGGCGGAGAACGCGAATGTCCCCAAACGCTCGAAACTCGCGCCCCAGAGGTATGGAAAGGCCTTGATGCCTGGCCTATCTCCGACGTGTGGTCCGTTGGAGTAACGGTAAGCCCTTCATTCCCGCATACTGCCGCTCCTCGAAGCTGACGTGATTGCTAGCTCGTGCACTGGCTCATGTCCAAAACTCCCTTTGGGCCCGGCGGGAAAATAATCAAGGACCACACTGACGCGTGGTGCATGGCCAAGCTGATGAGGCTCAGAGGGCGCTTCGACATGACGGAGGAGATGGAGCGGTATGGCGAATGGCAGCTAGCGGTTGGATTGGAAGCCATGGACTTCAAGGACCCTAAAACGGGTGATATGAGGCCTTATATTGTGGGAGGAACGCTCGAGGAAGAGTTCGAGAAACTGCCGCGCGAGCTCTGTTCACGAGAGGGCATAGAGTTTATTTTATACCTCTTGGAGCTGGACTGCAAGAAGAGACCGACAGCGCTGGAGGCATTGGAGCATCCTTTTATCAAGTCTATTGTTACTCGACAACAACAACAAGACCTCAACTAGTCGCGATGGGGCTGGAAACCCGCACATGGTGGCTACCTATAAATTCCACTCACTTATAATAGAATATCGATATTGTATATTGTAGCACACCTCTTTAACCCCCTAATAAAATAACTATCTTGCAGCAAACCAGCTGCTGCTTTCGGCTGCTTTCTTTTAAACTTTGGGAGGGCTATCCTCTGATTCTGTTTTGCCAGGGCTTCCCACTGACTCTGCAGTTGGCGATTCAGGTGATGCCTCTTTCGTTGTACCTACATCCTTAGGTCTTTGTCCGTATGCCACAATACTATAATTGTCAGTATTTACTCCGCCCACTGTGGAACTTGACACACTCACAACTCATAATATGTATGATACCTCAAATTCTTTACATCCCTCCTTAACGCAACAAGAAATACTTCTGTTTCTTCCTTGGTCCAGCCGAACGCTTTACTGAAAGCCATCAAACTGAAGGCACTAGCACCTTGCAGCAGACTTTGCATCTCGAATGCGCCAATGAGCTTCAATCTCTTGTTGAGCGGCCAAGGGCCCGTAGGGACTTTATACCGTTTCTCGACGACATTCACAAATCCTGCTTCGCGGAGGTATTTGGCGAAATTGTTTGGTTCTAACAATGACCAGCCAACGATTTGGCTAGCTTCGATGACTTTGGTGGAGAAGATGGGTACGCCACTTTCAGGGGGTGCAGAATCATCATCGCAGTTGGGGACAGGAAGGAGGCATTGCAGCTCAAGGTAGCCTCCGGGTACCAGCTGTCTAGGGGAATAAAGTGAGCGGAGACGAACAAGAGGAGAGTGGTGGGATGACGGACTCGTAACATTGCCCGACGAGGCGCGGCCAGTCTTTAATAGAAAAAAGGAAATCGCGTGAATGAATGAAATCGAATTTCTGATGGTAGGTGAATTGCTCCTCGACGTCATCTATTTCGAAGTGGCAGTTAGGAGGCACCCTATCCATAGTCAGATCTGCATTCACTATCCAATTTGCACTGCGAAGTGGTATCGTAGAGTGACTAACCAATCTGGCTGGATAGGAGCGACGTCGACACCAAGAACGTCCGCAGACGGAAATTGGTCTGCGAAGTCTATAGCCCAAATACCTTTCATAATATTAGAACCCCTTCATATTTAGGGCTGATTAGACCTACCACTACCAGTCCCAAGGTCAAGTACTCGGTGTGGGCTTGAGCCTATCGGAGCTAGAAACAATTCTTCATCTAGCAACATGCTGTACATCCTATGTTTCATGTCGATACGATCCAATTCGTCCCCGTCTATGGGCATGCCATACCCTGCACATGTCAGATACGACTTTGAGGCTGTCCACTCACATCTTACCGCTTTTACCATATGCAGCATATGTTCGACCATGCTCATCTACACCTCTCAAGATACTCGAGGTGATAGAAGTCGTTGAATCACCATATCTAAAGCACCATTAAAAACAAGTATAGAGCTTGGAAATTGTAAAACCAACAGCGAGTCGGCATCAAAGACTGCTCCCTCGTCTTCAAACTGCGATTATCGTCTTAGCATCGAATCACACAATTCCGCCACAATAGCAGGTTGACAAGCTAGCGGATCCCCCGGATTATAACCATATAGAAATGAGAAATGAGTGTGAGAGGAGCATAAGCAAATTTGTAAAGACGAACATCGGGATCAGCTTCGATTCTCTGCATCCTTCATATACCGTACGGGGAAGGCTGCGATCATGTATCTTATATCAACGAGTTTAAAATTAAATGCCGAGTCCCGTGCATGCATTTACGGGTTAGGCGTAGATAACAGACAGATCATTGCGCTGTTGAATGATGAACATGAGTTATTTGTATATGGAAGACCCGTCGTGGCTTCGGAAATGAAGCAATTGTGAAGGGGGCTCTGTATGAATCCAGGCCCCACTTTTACATATATCCGTCCGATGCAAGGGAGGCGCAACGGCCCGACCGATGGAATGCTGATCAACCAATCACTGATGTCTTCTTCTCTTGTGTTTGAAGTCTACCCCGCCCTCATTTGACCAGCCACTTCCGTGGGATTTCTTTTGACTTTCTTGTGTAACATATCACTTGCCAACCATTCCAGTATATCCAAGAGTATTTCTAGGGCCAATCAGCAACATGGTCATTAAGTCAAAGTTAGTTAGGGATGCTGAATCTTTGCTTGAGGCAGCAAAGGTCTACGATGTTGAGGGAGCAGACAAACGTTCCAGGTTGGATCTAATAGCTAGGCTCGATGCTCTGCGCGAGGGCTTGGAGGATCCTGTTGAGAAGATGTTCAGCCAGATCACCAATGTACGTTTTATTTGACATATACCCTATTTCACGCAGACATTAATTCAGCGTAGTACTCGCAAACAGCAGCTGTGAATACATTGCTACAGCTCAAGGTCTTCCACAGCATTCCCCGGGAGGGCAGCATAACTGCCAAAGAGCTCGCTGTAATTGTGAATGTTGATCTCGAGGTTCTCAGTATGCACAATTACCAGTTGAGCCTATCACGCAAGGCTAACATCTACCTTCAGCCCGTCTCATGCGGATCCTAACCGCAACCAACATCTTCCGCTCCGTGGCTGAAGACACTTATGCGCATACCAAGTTCTCACTTGTCTACATTGATGATGTGGCAACCGACTTCTTCACCCTCTGTGTGGACGAAGTAGCTCCTGCCGCCCATCGTCTCCCTGAATACATGTCCACGCACGATTCTGCAGGTATTCTGAATCCTCGCACCTCCCCCTTTGCGTGGCATAATGACCGGGAAGGTAAGAACTTCTACGAGTGTTTGCTGGAGTGGCCTGAGCGACTACAGCGGTTTAACATTGCTATGACAACGCAGGAAGCTGCGTTGCCAGTTCTTGGCATGTTCCCGTTTGCCACACTGCCTGCCTCTATTGACACTAGTGACCCTGAACGTGCTTTCATTGTCGATGTGGCTGGTGGCCGTGGTCAAAGCTTACTGCAGATCACCCGGGAAATCGAGGAGAGTGGGGTGACGGGGATAGGTAGAGCGATTCTAGAGGATCGGGAGAGGGTGTTGGATGCAATTCCCGCCGATGCCCTACCTGGAGTGGAAAAAGTACCCATTGACTTCTTCACACCACAACCAATCAAGAGTAATTGCCCCCTCAACAGTTCCTGGCAATATACTCACATTTGTAGACGCACATGTCTATTACCTCCGCCGCATTATGCACAACTGGCAAGACCGCGAAGCTATCGTAATTCTGTCGCACATTGCCGAAGCCATGGCACCAGATTCTCGTCTTCTGATTGGCGAGATGGTAGTACCTGAGGTGCCGAAAACAGGCTACGAAGGTTTGGATATGACGGTGTACTGGATGGATATGTGCATGTTAGTTATCGGAGGGAAAGAGAGAAGTGAAAAAGAATTTAAGGCGATCTTAGATTCGGCGGGCCTACGGCTGGTTAAGATCTGGTGGAGCCAGTTGGGCAGTCAGACAGTCCTGGAGTGTCAGTTGAAGGAGTAGGTAGATATGAGTTTAAGACGAGGTCAACGGTGGTACATTGTCTATGATATAGACCTACTTGTTTAGAGCTCCAAATTTTCAGTATCAGCATTACGCACCTACATACACACACAGATGCACATAGCTTTGTCTAGTGACACTGTTGCAGGTTAGTCGGCCGTCTAAGCTTTCACCGCGGGCCGACCCGCCCCCACATGGGCTCATTTTACTAATATGACCAATGCGACTAGTGTATTAAAAGGAAGAAGGAATGTCGAATCGGCTTGAACCTCAGATTCGTTTGTCAAGGCGCTATTAGAGATGGATGTTCTAGAAGCAGAGCTGAAGGTCAGAATTAGAGCGCAATATTTGAACTTTGAGCTGAACCGCGGAGATTGTGAGACGAATACTCGATGTCTAGATTTAGGACCTAAATAGCACGCCTAAAGCTAAAAAAATATCACTAGAACATGTGCGTCTCCAAACCCTGTAGCACTCGATATTTTGCCCGCTCTGCCTGAAGGGGACGGGAAAAGAGTGCATTGTTGTGGCGGATTCAAGGATGGTCCGATCTCAGCTCACCCGACAAGCTAACCGCCGTTGGAACGTCGATGATTGTTGTATGGAGGCGGGGCCACACCGGTTTCTTGATGCGCACTTGTCTCCCATTATTTTACTACATTTCCTTTCGGCAAACTTGGTTCTCTTTGTAGCTGCTTTAGGCGCTGCTTTCTGCAGCTGAGTTGCCAAACTCTCATGATGCTCTAACGCTTGGATGTCTAATAGATCATCGGCAAGGACTAGACATATCTGAGCAAATCAGGGACGCCAAATCTAGAGCGAGGTTGAAGGCAGTAAGCAGCCTCTTGTTAGGATCCGCTCTGTCGGCAGCGAGAAGATGCTCCACCACCTGCTCGTGGCTATCTTTCGCCGCCAGCGACAGTGGTCTGCAGCCATCGACTCATCGGAGATTGTGAGCGCCATTTCTGGTTGCGACAGCCTTTTTTAACGTATTAACCGCATTGATGCCAGTTGAAGTTTCTTCACCAGCAGAGAATTCAGTGTCTAAAATCTGGGAATAAAAGGCCCAGAGGATCACCTGAACCCAGTCATATCCCAGTCATTCATGAACCACTCGCCTATACCTCCAAAATCTAGATTCATAAGGTCCTGCTCTGCTTCAGTTGCGAAACCAACGTCGGCCATCGCTGCCGTGGTCTGGTCCGAAATAGATGTAAATTCTTCTCCTGGATTGCCTTGAATGTCGATATTTCTCTGAGCTGCATTGTCGCTACGTTGTAGTGCAATCTGGGGTTCATAAATAGGCCATATTCTGCAGAGATCAACCGAAAATCCCTCAAGTAAAGCCAGTTGGGCGCTCGTAGGCTTTGTTAGAGACGACCCTTCACCCGGTAAGTGGGATTTCCGTATATCGATGGCTTTTTGTAGCGCTTTAGATGCTCCAATGGCAGACCGCCATCGTTTCGAAAGCTCATTCAGGCATTTCTGCATGACCTCAAGATCTGGCTGAATGGCTTCCCATAAATCAGGAAACGGCCTGACTGATAGCAACACGATACTAGCGACAAGGCAAAAATTTGTAAACACTGGCGACAAGAACTTAACTTGATCGCGTGCTAGAAAATATTCGTAGATTCCAGCGACAAACGAAGCCGCCAAAACAGGGACTGGTGATACTTCTCCTGACGCTGCAGTAGGGCGAGCCAGAATAATTAGACAGATCAAGTATGGGACATGCAATTGTCGGGCATTGAAATTGTGTGCGAGGAGATCATACGTCTGAGTATGGGGTTGCTTTGGGGACAATCTTAAATTTGAAGGAAGTGTCCTTGTCCAGCGAAATAGGACAGTTTCCACGTGCAGGCGTTGTGTACTACACATGCGTCTTCTAGAGCAGCACTCAACGAGGTTGCCAAGGAGACAGCATATCTCAACGTATGGAATAAACAGCTCTCCTTGCGCACGAGATTCCGGAAAGTCGTCCAAACATGGGGGGCTAGTTTCGCAGTCGTCCATATTGATTGCTCGCGGTCGCCCATGTGAAACAGAGATGAGGGAATCACGGACCTAAGATTACTTTAATATCGTGAATCTAATCATTTGAGAAGAACCAAACTTACTGCCAAACTCCACCATATACGCCGGCGAATGGCTCTGTGTGGTCCCTGAGGTGGCTCTTTATGGAGGCCAATCTGGTAGGCAAGGCCGACTCCCGTCTTAAGCCAAAATTCGCTAGCATCGTATGAGACATACGCGGGTCCATCAGGATTATACCAATGTAGCATTGTAATCGCCTTGATAACTGTAAGGGGGTTGTTTTCGTGGCCTGCCCAAAATAGAGCCTTTGCACGCTGGTAGAACTGTTCCGAGGATCCATAAGATTCCACACCTGGGCCTGGCGAGATTCGACTAGCTGCTACAAACATTGACTGCATCAGCAACAACGACTGAAACTTATCGCTGCCTTGATGTAGCTCCGACTGACTGAGGGTCGGCATCCACGGGTAGCAATACTGCATAAAGGTTTCCATGAGTATTTGACGGGTAGACTTCGGTGGGAGTTTGAAAGATCCGCAGAGCTCTAATATTTTCTCTTCCATATCAGAGAGTCCACCGGTTCTCGATGGGGTATATGACCGAGCCGACCTCTCGTCAATGGTTGTGTCGCCGCCAATATAATACGTCCTCCCAATATATGTTGGAGACTCAGTCCTTTGACGGTTCACTGTAATAATTTCACGGGGCGAATCCGTGGTAATATCGCTGCCTCCAGGCGGTTGAGATTGTAATGGTAATGAATGGCTTCTCTCATCAGGAATGTGATGAACAGCATGATCTGCGTCTTGCAAACCGTCTACCTGCCCACGGCCAGGAAGGACCTCTGGTACTACTATGTCAGGTATAACCAGAGAATGCGGGCGTGGCCAAAATGGAAGTGGCATTTGCGCACTTGTGGGATCACCATAGCCATGGTTACTTAGGGTGTTCTGGATACCGCTAGGCGGCCTCTCAACATGATGCAAAGTTGCACTTGAAGTCCTCGCTGGAGCAGCTCGGCGTCTCTTGCGGGTTCGAGGGCTATTTGATTCTCATCAGCATGGTTGAAATAAGGGAGTTGCAAGGGATGCTTACATGCACTCAATGCGTAAGGAGGAGCACGATTGGCAGGGCCCCTGTTCCGTCAATAATCTGCATTTAATCTTCCCTAATTAGTACATAGCCATAAGGCTGGGCTTCTAGAACAGTAGCGAATACCTTTTTTAGGTTGCAGTGGATGCATGCTTGACCGAATATGTGATTGGAGGTTTCAACCTGCATAGTACCGGCGTGCCGATTGTGTGTGGAGGCCATGTGAGCGTGGCCGGAACCCCGGCGAACATCACAGCTCTCAAGAACCCACGACTGTCTCGCGCAATGGAACCGGATTGGAGGAGCAGATTTATGACAATGTGTAGGACATAGGTGTAGAATATGCTATCGTAATGCCTGTTTTCTGGGTCAATTGCAGGAGGTATTCAGGTTTGTGTTAACTTCCCCGCACGGATCTGGAGTGGAGAAGGCGAATAATTACCGACCAAAGCTACCCGCGACACAAGAAAATACGGCCCGATTTGTGAGGCTACTACTTCGAGCAATGCATTTTATATTTTCTATTTGTTTATAATAGTACGTATCGCTACTCTATACTATATGATTTAATTACGAGGTAGTTAGGGTTAGATAATGTTGGTCGTCACGCTGGTTTGTAAATGGGCTTGTTTAATTTATTTCGTGACTCCATGCTTGGTATCAATAATATTTTTACCCCTTTCCATCCATCGCCTGTACTGCAAATCAACAGAACATCTAGTTTATGCCGTTGGGTATCTGTGTATTAATCTCTGCTAGCACATCGGCCTTCAGCGCTGGCCTGTCTGCCTTTCCCGCCGTTGTCTATCGTCCCAAATAGTCAGTATCGTACAACTTGAGAAGAACTCACAGCCCAGGAAAACTTACCCCTCCATCGATTGGCATTATCAGTCCTGTAATCCATTTTGCCTCCTTACTACACAAGAACAGGATTCCGTAGCCCACATCCCAACCTGTGCCCTCTTGCTTCATTAGGTTTTGGTTAATCCGCGCCTGGCGCATATCATCAGTCATGCCTCTTCCCCGCACCATTGGCGTAAACACCATCCCTGGACACACGCAGTTCACACGAATGTTTTCAGACCCATGTTGTGCGGCCATTGCGCGTGTCATTTGGATGATTGCACCTTTGGTGGTAGGATATAATAGGCTCGGATTGCCGCCAAGGACTAAAATAATGTAAGCTGGGGTAAGGAAGGCGATGAAAAGGGGGACATACGGCCGCTGACAGAAGACATATTGACGATCGAACCTCTTCCCTTCTTGCGCATCTCAGGAACAACGTGTCGACTCATAAGTACCATGCTCGTTACATTAATGCGGAAATCGCGGTCCCAAGCAGCCATGTCGATTTTAGTGCAATCGCCCATGGCTCCTCCAACCCCAACTATAGAAACATTTGCATCAGTCCGAGAATTCAATAACTGTAATAAAGTGACGGGGCCGTCCATACCAATGTTAACGAGAATATCCACAGAGCCGAATACTGCTACAGTCTTCTCCACGGCACTCTTGCATGACTCTTCGTCGGTGACATCTGCCTGGATAACCTCAGAGATGCCACCCTCTTCGTCGATCATGCGCTTCGTCTCTTGCGCCCACTCAACGTTGAAGTCAACCAGAGCAACTTTGCAACCCTGGCGGGCGAGAAGAATTGCAGTCGCTCTCCCATTGCCAATTTCACCTGCATCAAGGTTAGATGAATATGAATTCATAATTGGAGGAACATACCTGGCATGCGGGAGCCAGCGCCGGTAACGATCGCTACCTCTCCCTCAAAATTGAAAGCTACAGGAGGCGCCATTGATCCGAGTGAGACTTAGGAGACAACAGGCGGGTGGTTAATTAGGTGAAGGTAGTGTTGTAATGATACATGGAGAAATATATTCAGTGTTGAAGGGTATATATATTCATGGCATCGAGTTTCTCATAGGTCCATAAGTCAGGTTAAAGCGCCGGGCTGATCGCCATCGTGATATTCTGCCGAGAATGGACACACACAGGCTACCCACTTCCTCCGAGTGAGTCGTCCGAGTGAGTCGCTCGGTCATACTCAGAAGATGCACCAATTCCAAGATACTCGGCGTGTGTTAATCCCGAGATCTCGGTATTAGGCCAAGATCATCCGGAGAGCCGGGGAAATGTGGAGAACCGGGGGAATGTGGGGTCAAATAGCTTGCTTCCCACGTTTTCAATAGAGGGTCCACTTCTGGATGAGGTACTCGAGAAGGTGCCTGATCCGTTCATTCATCCATTGATCCAATATTACAGTGAGGTAAAAGTATTCATATTTATTCAAGCCTGTGCACGAATTGTGATTCAGCTCATTGGTAATAGTTCCAAGATCTATGTAGATATTATTTATTGCGATAACCAGAAATCAAACCATTCGACGATACCCTTTAAACTCTGCTCTTTGACATATCCTACGAACAAGTTAGTATGTGTATTACATGATGAGATGGATATTTCTTAGGAGAGGCAACTGACGTTCATAAGGATTCTCCAGATCACCTCGCAACGCAAATCCATGCTGAACACCGCTAAAGAGCTGTAGTTGGTAGGGTTTCTTTTCCGTCTGAAGGATTTCAAGCGCTCGTCGTCGCGAAGGAGTGTCAAACGTATGGTCGACTTCAGCACAAGATAGGAATAATGGTTCTTCGTGCAAATTCATTAGTTTAAAGCTACAATTTCGCTACTGGGAGTTAACTCACTCTTTAGGTTGAAAAAATGGTGCACCTTGAGGAACGCTGGATGGGCGAATGCACCAGCCGTGACAGTGTTGCCAGCTAATTCATTACAAACGTACGGGGCACCAAAGCAGTATCTAAAACGATAAGTATGAGAATCACAGTGATTATCGAGCAGACTTACCCTACACAAGCATATTTCGTTTGCTCCTCGCCATATTCCTCTTTCACCGCGCTGACCCATTTGGGAACATTTTCATCGGCAAACGCTGTGTGCTTCTTCTTCCAAGCCTCATAGTCAAAATTGGGATCAGAGTTGTCGTGTCTGTCCTTTCTGTGCTTCCACACTGGGTCCTATAAAATCAAATGAGTTCCATTTTGCTCTGTGATAAGAGTCCTAGAATGAGAATTTACCCCGCGAAAATAGTCCATGCCCAGCACAAGATATCCAGCATCAGCAAAGCCATCCATTATAAGAAGCCCGTTGGGAAACATTCCCCAGACATCAGGAAAGTAGAGCAAAATATGACCATTTGGCTTTGTGGGCGTTCCAACGTACGTCTCTACACCTGCAAGTGTGACGAACTTGCCTTTCGACTCTCCTTGGTGAATTGTGCCATTTAGACAGCAGGGTCCTGATGGCTTCGCAAGAACTGGATCTGCCATCATTAAGATGAATGCGTCGTTTGGTTAAAATTTATAAGGGTGTGAGAGTTTTAGGAAGTTGTAGTAAAATATGGACATCAACAAGCATCATCCATTCATGATATGTTTCGTCTTCGTTCGATTGCAACATACCACAACGAAGTCACGTTTGTAGGTCATCTTCGTCGCCGAGTTCCCGCAGCATTCGGCGAAACTCCGAGCCTGGGTGATCATCGGCCATATTGCGGGGTTCCCCACAGTTGGGCTAGTGAGTCCGGTATGCCGACCGCCGGACGCCTAACGCCGAATCCCAATTGCAGAAATACCAACGAGCTTCGTCTCTGCCATATTAGTTCGGATATATCTTTAAGCCCAGCAAATGGGCAGCCGAATTGATACCCGGCGCCCCAGTTTATGGGAATAATGGAGCGAATATATGCGGGGTGCATGCGGGGTATCCCCAGCATTTCCCCAACTTGTTTTAGATTTAAGATCCTCCTTCCTTCCCTGGAAGCACATGGCTAATCGGATTTCCATGCCTCTGTGTTTCTGTTCTCCTGAGTTTTTATAACCACGACTATTTCTTCTGCGGCTCTCAAGTTTTTCGAGATGACCACCGTGAAGGTTGACGAAGTCGCACACGTGGAGCGCGATGGTGGCATCGATCACGATGCAGATTTAAAGCAACCGCTGGACAATTTCAACGAGGTAACCACCGCCGTTACAAGTTCAAATTATGCATTGGCTCACAATATTTAGAGTGATGCAGTTGGATACTCGGAGTATAGAGAGGGTCTTAACATAGAAATTTCACAACAAGAAGTAAGCAATGCCCACTCGTCTACATTTTACGCGATGTCTAACAAATTATTCAGAATCGCCGTGTCCGTTGGAAGATTGATCTAATCATTCTACCAATCTTCTTGGTCACACAGACCTTGCAATTTCTTGACAAGACGGCACTGAACTATGCCAATCTGTTCGGATATCAGAAAGCCCTTGGGCTACATGGCCAACAGTTCAATTACCTGTCTGCGAGTGAGTCTTGCTGGGAGATTTTGTTTGAATGGTTATCTAACCCTGCATTTTAGTGGTATATGCAGGATACTTCTTTGGACAGTACCCCTGCGGCTGGCTCATCGGCCGATTCCCTGCACAGAAAGTTCTCGGCATAAGCTGCTTGCTCTGGGGAGCAACAGTTCTTATCCTGACACAATGCCGAACATTCAGCAGCGCCCTCGCCGTCCGCTTCATAATGGGCGTCTTTGAGGCCGCCGTAACTCCCGGTCTTACATTGATGACTGGATTCTGGTACACCAGACAAGAGATTCCGCTTCGCCAATGCATTTGGTACTCTGCCCTTGGATGGGGCGGTATTATCGGCTCCTATATCTCGATGGGCATTTCCAAACTTCCCGAGGATTTGACCCCGGAGCGCTGGGAGCTTATTTTCTTCATTCTCGGTGGTGCTACGTGTCTATGGGCATTTGTCATCTACTTTCTGCTCCCCGACACTCCGTCAAATGCGCGGTTCTTCAACGAGCGCGAACGCCTCGTTGCCGTCAAAAGAGTAGCTGGCAACGAGACGGGTATCAAGAACAAGGCATTCAACACCAAGCAAGCCATTCAAGCCTTCGCTGATCCCAAGGCTTTGCTCCTCTTTGCGTCTGTCTTCGCCGCTGCCATCCCGAATGGAGTTGTTAACTCCTTCTCTACCATCATTATTAAAGATTTGGTACAACGCCATCATCTGCTATGTTTCTATTTTCTCCTACTAACTATACGTATAGGGATTTAGCACTACCAAAACGACCCAGCTCAAGTCCGTCGGCGATGCGATCCAAATCATTGCTCTCATTATCGGAGGAGCAATTACCCTTAATGTGCCGAACTCTCGCCTGCTAACAGCTACCGCCGCAAATATCATATGCACAGTTGCTGCCGCATGTACAGCATATCTTCCACGTTCTAATACCTGGGGACGACTCGTTTCGTTCTGGCTGGTTAACACGCAGTCCGTTGGATTTACTATCTCACTTGTGACCGTCTCATCGAACATGGCGGGGTTCACTCATCGATCGATGGCTAGCGCTATGATTTTGTAAGAATTGCCTTTGCTTCTTTAAATGAAACCAGACTTACATTTATATAGCACTGCATACTGCTGGGGTAACTTTACAGGACCATTTGTTGTTAAAGCTAGCGAGGCTCCGACCTATCCCACTGCAACGGCAGGTCTACTCGCCGGCTACTCTGTCAAACTTGGATGCCATCTCTTACTTCTTGGTAAGCCTTCATATTACTTCCCTGGATTTTCTATATACTAAAGCTAATGATTTATTTCCAGCATACATGTTTTTCACCAACAGATACAGAGAGCGTACTTATGGCCCTGCAAATAAGGAGATGAGTAACGAGGCTGGGATGCAGGACAAGACGGAGTTCGAGAACAAGGATTTCCGCTATGTGCTGTAAATGCCATTTCGTAGAATAAGAACATAA